CATCTTGCTCTCATTTACTATCAGATACATGGGCTACACTTCCTCAAAAGGTACGGATACAGCAGAACTGATGGCGCGCTTATTGACGAAAGTCAGTCGGCATAATCCTTGAGCCGTACACTCTTTTAAAAGAAATTTATCTTCTTAATTTTGCTCTGGAGCTCGTATTATTGTATTTTCTCAAGGAGTTGATTTAGGAAATCACAGAATAATTCACCTTTTCTTAAAACCGTTTGCGTATCGAAAAGTTCCCAGAGGTTATTTCCGATTCTGACGAATCCTTGATGCTGCTTACGATAGCTTACATAGCCATATACACTTGATGGGGATAAAATATTCAGACTCAGCGGTGTAGAGACGGCTTCTTATCGCGCTGTCGATGGCTGCTTTAAAACAAATAGAGAGGTGGTGTATTTCGATCCTCTTTTCACGGGTCTTTTTCAAAATTTGTCCCTTGGTATCTGGTTAATTATCAATTTTTTAGTTCTAAAGGCTCACTTGAAAGTCGGATTCTTTTATTTACTGCGGGCTTTAGAGTTTGACACAATTCGCTCGATGGGATATTCAGGAGGCTTATTGGTGCAGATTTTCATTTTATTGATTAGGCATAGCATACTTACGTTCCAATCGTCCGACAGCTTTCGTCCGACCATATTCCTTAAAGAGGCTGATGCATACTCCTTGCCAATTTTTCTATCGCTCCGCCGATTTTTTGTTTTACAGGCGAGCACTTCGAATGAGTTTACCTTCGGGAAATTAAACATCTGATACACAGCCATCAATTGGGGATTCCGGTTCTCCTTCTTCAGGTGTTTCATTTTTATTGCAAGAGCATATTGAAGCCTCTACAATAAATGGAGAAACCTACAACAATAAGCTGCCTCCGAGTGCAGTCTAATGAGTAGCTGTTTCACATAGGAAATATTATATACTCGGATGAGTTGATCTTTAATGTCGATAGACGAGCACTAAGTATTTAGGTGTGTTTTTTTTTGGATGTTTATGTGGTAAGTAAGCACTGCTGGCCACCTGACTACACAAGCAGCTGTAATATGAATCAGATTAATTTGATTTATTTGAATGAAATGCAAATTTTTCATAAACATTTTTATATAATATATGCTTATAAGATTTATGACTTTTGTGCTTGTATAAAAGCATATTCTAGATTGCAATATTAGTAATTGAATTGTTGACACCACACTGTGTGCAATGCCATAATCCAAGTAATATGCGAATTTGAAAAAAAAATCACATTCAAAGCCTTTTGGCTCGAAGGCGATTCAGTATGTTTTCTTTTCAGCTGCTGAAAATTTTAAATTGAAGCTTCTTTACAAAAGTTTTAAGCCCTTAAATGGTTTGTAAAAAATTTTCATATATATTCTCTCAGACAACTTCCGAGGAATAGAGAATTACCTAAAAAGTAGACATATTCCGATACAGTACACTAAGACCATTAAACGAGCAAACCAGCTGAATAATTTTCGGGGTTTTTTCAGAATGAGCTTCTTCCGGCATATTTAATTCTTTTCTATTAACTGAAAACGAATATCTGGAGCTTTATAAATATAAAAATCGATATATAAAATAAAAGGTTAATCACGTTGTTTTTCGAATATTTAACCAAAAATTCGTTCACAAAGATATCCTTGTAAAATGGTGCGTTGTCTGTGAGTATTCCGCGACACTTTATTTCCCAGTAAAAATCACAACCCTTGATTCTATCCTAATGAATTCACCAGAACCTACTATCTCTCATCCTTGAACCGTAGCATTTCCCAGCATACTCAATTTAATGCGGGCTTGGTCTAGAGAATAATGTATAACCTCAAAAACTCCGTAGCACCGAAGACGCTATTCCTGTTGTGGAGCGACTATCAAACCACCATCTCACGCAACAACCATCAAACCCGACGAATATTCGGTGTCTGGGTCCAAAATGTGATGAGATAAGATGAGCACCGAAGCTAACTCTTAGTTGAATGGGTACATTAATAAATAAAATTACTGCATTTGGAGATATGATAGTCCACAAGCCATTGTGGAGACGCCTTTGGATCTTCAAGAAGTCGATGTTTGGTATGCTTTCTGAGCAGAGGGAGTTATTACATAAAAATCAGCCGAACGTAATGGTCATAGGAGAACGCTATAGAACCAGAATTAATGAATTTTTCGTGGCTAAGTCAAAAGATGTTGCTGTAGAAAACTTTTGGTTTCAATAAGCCTGTACCACATGACTTACAGCCAAGGAGACAATCAATTTATTAAAAGAAACTTATGGCATGGAGTGCATTATCTCGCGTCGTAAGGCTGTGGCATGGCCTCAAGGAACGCGCGAGTTAATACCGTTAATACCGTAAAACCAGAGACGATTGACGACTTGGAAGAGAATATTTGGCATCATATCGATGACTTATGGGCCCACTTACTGCAAAAAATTGGGCCTCTCATCTGGAATTGATTCAAACCAGACGCGGCATTTACTTGCCCGAAATAATTGTTTAAGCAGATTCACAAACTTTTAAATTAAATGCATAATAAAGATAAATTCTAGCTCATAACATCAAAGTACATCCGTTTTATTGCTCCTTTAAAATCACATAGCTTAAAAACACCTTTATTTCTCAAGAAGACATATTTGGTTTTAGTTGCCTTGAGTTGAATTGAGTTGAGTTGATGCGGCTGCCCGTCAAACCCAGCACACTTACGCACCATTTGGGCCAATGGTGATACCGCTGAGGCTCCTGCCTTCATCTTCTCAAATGATCGAACCATTTCTTGTGCCTTATAAAGACAATGAGATTTTCAAAGTTCGCTGAGGCCAACTCGAAGAACTGTTTCAAAATAAACTTTTGTCCCGCGAATGTCAAGGCTGGACAGTGGCAGTGATAGTTTTCGATGGTCTCCTCCTCTTCTTCGTCCCTACAGGCGCTGCAAAAATCGCTAGAGAATAGCCATCATTTTCCCGTTAATCCCCTTTAATCAGTGTCCAGTTATTGTACCAGTCGTTATGTTAATGGAGAACCGGTCAAGAAGGATAAGATGTTTATATTGCTTTGCGTCCAACCTTAGTTATAGCTATCTGGTCACGTTACACGTGTTCTCGGTCAACCATCGCGAGTCAGCTTCCCTGGTGAAGGCCAGTTTAAGCATGTACTTTGCCATAGACAGAGGTAAACCAGCATGATGTATATGTTTTACTATAGATAGAACGGTTCCTTCCCTTGCTAGTTCGTCTGCCATGCAATTGCCTGAGATGTCCTTGCAGCCATGCACGTAGTCCACGGCTCTACTGTACTTCGTTAAAAGTTTGTTAAGAGTGTTTCTACAGTTTATGGGCACCCTTGAAAAGTGATAACGTTTCATTGGAAAGATTTGATTGCAGCCTGACTATCGAAGTAAATTGTAACCAATTGTCCTGCTGCCGTGGATTTGTGCGAAGAGTTCCGCCTGGAAAATGCTGCAGTCTTCCGGTATTCATGCTTAATGAAAGCACAAGAGAATAAATTCCGCAAACTTCGAGCCGTCTGTCGAGGTGCCAGGGAACAAGGTGGGCAGCGTTGGTGCTTTGCCACTCGCTTCTGTTTGGGATTCTCGTAGAGAAAAGATTATTTAAGCATACACTGTTGGTAGTATAGTCCACCTCCTTCGGCACTTCTGTAATAGATAATATTTTTGTATGTCCTATATTACAATTCTTCCAAGGTTGAGTTGCATTCAATCTTATTGCGTTGCAATCCGCTTGTGGTTTCCCGTATTTATCCAGAGAAAGGAGGTTGAGAAGAGTTAGCAGCGCTTTCAAGGGAGTTGATGGCAGTCCTTTTGAGGGAGTTTCTGGCGATGCTACCATTATCAGGAAGTACGCCGATCGTTGATGTCTCTCTAATTTGCTCCTGAAGGTGAGTTTATGGAGTGCTGGCCCCGCAGAATAGGATTGGTCTAAGTGCACAAATCTCGGTGTTGGATCCCATCGCTGTTTTGCAGGCGTTGAGCGCAGTTATAGCTTTTTTTGATCTTTCAGCCGTTGTCCGGCTTCAGTTTAGTTTTCTAACTAATCTCCACGCCTTTTAGTTTTGGGTGGCATGCGGTTTGTACCTCCTAGTAAATAATACCATCTTTGTTTTATCAGGGTTAACGTCCTTCCTGCCATCTGTACACCATTTCTCAACTATAACAAGAGCATTTTGGAGTAAATCACTTCATGTCTGTAGGTGTCAGGGCAAGGTCATCTGCGCATGCCACAATGCCACAATGCCACAACCTGTGTTATGAAGTTTTCTAATCAGCGTATAGCTGCGAATACGCTACCACTACATTGGCGATAAAACTCCTTGAGGGTTTCTCTTCTTGTGTGTCTGGCAACACTGGCGCTGCCCATCTCTGCGAAGATGACCCTGTTCTTTAGAAGAGACTCTACTATATTCACTATGGACTGTTGAAGATCCAATTCCTGAAGATAATAGGCCGTAGTTTGTGGTTATATTTTCAAAAAACCTTACATTTTTTTAAAATTTTTTTGTGTGTACAACATAGCACAATAGATTCCTTTATAAAATTATGAGATAGCGGAGGAGGAAACAACCACACATAAAAAACCCAACTCACGTTGAGTTAGATTATGCAATTAGCAACCGAGTTACTGCATGGGCATACATATTTATATATAGACACAAAAGGTAAAAACATGTCAAGCACATTACGTCTCTTTTTATGTTGAAAACGTAATGTTATTTTGTTTTTAATGTGATATCAGAGACACACAGAGTACTTATCATGTTGTCTTGTCCCTAAATTCATTTTTCATTGGAAATGAAGTTGTCTGAGCTCTGACCTTTGCAAATGTGGGCAGTCTTTTGCCTTTTTGCGTTGCTATTTTTCGAGAATGTGTGTTTTCAGCTCATCTAAAATGGAAATTATTTTTTACACAACAACTCATGAACGCATTATTAAACGCAACCTTTTTGGCGTTCTACTGGATAAATTCTTTTCTTTTTTTGCAGCACTTGTGGTTCCATTTAACTAATAAATCGAGTCACCCAACAAATTTATATCGCTACATCTGTAGCGATGGATGATAAGCCTGCGTTTGCGAAAGTTAGCAAAAGGCGGAAAAGTTTTTTTAATTATGCAATGACGACCAAGCGATGGCACAGAATCGCTCCAGCTACATCAGTTGGCAATGAAACGGGCGAGGATGTCGTACTGTTCTTTAAAGTGATCTTTATTGCCATTACGTCCAGTACAGGTGAGTCGTAAGAATCCTCTTTTCATATTTGTATATTTGTAAATGCTTAAAAACTCAAGTACATCGGGTAATTTTAAAACACAGACTTATTTTAATATATATATACATAAGTGTACTCATACTTATATATGTCTGTAAAAACATTTGTATTCATGTTTGGTTGTGAAAAATTACAAGGAATGCAATTAACATTGAAGTTGATAAATGAAATTCATGTTTTTGCGGTTGCTACGGCACTCAGTTTGGCATTTAATATGTAGTCTATATTTTTATACCAAATCACATTTGCATTGGTTATAATAACTCTGTATGTGAACTGGTAAATTATAGAAGCTAAAGGTAATCAAGAAAACTGGAGATATATGTAGGAGCGTAAGCATACTAAAAAGTTCTCCATTATTTTTGCTTCTAGATGAAAGCTTTATTTAATGTGCATTTACCGGAAAATTTCCCGAAATTGTTATTTAAACTGACCACGCTGGATATTTTTCAGCTCTTACTTACTACGTCATAAATTAGCGCGATCTGTCAACCAGTTTGTTTTCAGCAGCTGTTGAAATCAGTTGACCTGAGGTCCCTCTGCAACTTTAAATTTACGGCCTCAATCGAGTCGAAGCTCGTTCCACGGAGAGGTAACTTCGAATTTTGAACCGGTCCGGTTGATTGATGGCATTGAACTAGGTTCAGCTCTTTAAATCGTTCACAACTACAGCTCGATACGTTGGCGCATTATCGTCACGAAAGTTTCCAGAAATTTGTTGGCTCACAATTCCGACTATTCGCGACGTATGTTTTCGCGCAAACGCCTTGAAACGCTCAAATAATAGTTTTATCATTAACCAAACCATGAATATCTGAAAAAAAAATTTCCGAAAACTTTCTGGTCTTAACGTAAATATTTAAAATTAATCGACAAAGTATTTTCGTTTTGAAGGAAATGCCTCTCTTTCTCTCTCGAATGGCAAAAAGTTGGTACAGTCGATTTTGACAGGCTTCTCTTGAGACCAGTTCTTCGCCAGCCAAATGATTCACCATATACAGAAATATATGTATGATAATCACTTCGCGGGAGATCAAAACTATACTGTGGATGCATGAGGACCTCTCAACCAAGTACTTAGAGCTTCTGCTTAGTCCATATCGATTTGTGTGATCAGGTTCTGTCCCTCCTGTTTGGCCAAAGCTGGACGCTTCTGGGCAACTGGACTGGACTGTCCTATTGCTGACAGTAAAAGTCCACATTGGGAATTTAGCCGTAGAGGAGCAACACAAGAAATAATTCATGGTCGTTTACCATGATCGTTTTCATTACAATAAGTGATCCACTTTTCATCACAAGTTTCCGCTGGCTTCTGAAGGGGCCGATTTTTGTGCGATTCACCTACTATTCCATACGACGAACTTCTTTGTATATCCAGCTTTTGTCAAGCTGTAAATCTGTGATAACCTAATGAGATAAGTGGTCAACACTTATTCTATTATGTTTTTTCGTTCAAGATATCTCTTTAAAGCATCGTAATTAGATCGCGATTTCACAGTATGAAATCTTTATTTGAGTAGATAGAATGATTGATTGAGTGTAATGGCTAAATATCATTTCGCGTACATAGATGTTGGCCGCGATTTTGTTGCAAATTGCTCATACCAGCGTCCAGTTTTCTCTACAAATTGTTTAGTATCTCTCTAATAAATTCATCAGTATTAACTTCCAACTTGTCAAACTTTGCGGGTTTTTGATATAGACATGGGTCTCTATAGCCCCTCAAAAACAGTTTAGAGGCCTCAAATCACAGGATTTAGGTGGCTCCGAACGTAAAAAATTTACTTACTGATAACCAACTCAAATGATTTTCCAATATTTTCTATGGAATGAAGTAAAGAGGAACGATTGTCTCGAACGGCGTAGAATCGATGATTTATTGTGATATACAGCTGTGCTTCTTTGCTCTCCTCGCACTCATCTTATGTGCGGTGGTGGCGAATCCCTCGTGAGCTGTTAAAAGTAATGTTTTCAAAAAAAAAAAAAAAGGAGATGCCAAAAATCACTATTTATATCGGATAGGCTACTTTTCCCAAAAAAATTATAGACTATGGTATGTCTATTTGCTGATTCGATTATCTGCTGAATTTTAATACTAGGTTTTCCTGAAGGTCGCGTAAAAACAGGAAATCAATTTTTACGAACGGCTTCAAACTCATTTCATCTGACGGATCCGTTACTGCAGGTCTTAAATCTGTCAAGACTTCTAGTTGGTGAATCAATGTGGTTCTTATTGTGTATGCAATAGCGGATGATAGTGTGAGATCTCCTCTTTTATTGAACATAGAACATAGAACATAGAGAAGCAGGAACCTAACAGAAAATATATTTAAGAATAGGGAAAGGTGGCCAGGTCATCACAGTTTGGACGAAACAGGAAGTAGTGATGAGTAGATGAGTATTAGTGTTCATGCAAAGAGGTGGTTACTAATAAAATTTGCTTCTATCCCTATGCATAGAACTGACTGCCGTGGGATATGAGTCATACGAGGCAAACATCAAATGAAAGCGAATTTATTGAGAAGCCTCGTGTCTGATATTAAGATAGCATACTGACAGTCTGGCCAGGTTTTGAGTTTAGGTTTGACAAAAATACAAATATATAGAAATTGAATAAAATACATATTTCTTCAAAAAACTGCATGATGATAAAACAAAAAGTTATGATTAGCGAATGTGCTTACTACTGGTATTATGAGTTCGTCTCAGGATTATTTTTAGTCTTCGATTATGAAGAAATTACAAGCATCTCTTGGGCATCAAATCGAAAATATTATTACTTTTATAACACTAAAATTAAGCAATAAGGTGAAAAATAATGTTTGTAATATAAATAAAGGGGGAGAGGAAATATTACAGGCAACTTATTATTTAAAAACCTTGTCTTAAGTTATGGTTAATATTCATGTGCAAAATTCTTGAAAATGTTACAGAAATTGTGAATGAGCCTTTATCAAACAAAGTGTAATGGAACAGTAAATTCAAACCCCAACTTCAGGCAATATATTGCAGCTGGTTATAAGACACGGACTCACGAATCAGTCTACAAGCATCAAGATGACATTTTCGAACTTTGTCAAAACCGAAAAATCCGCAGCAAAGACGCCCCTTTAATTACTTTCGTATATTTTCGCGGTGTTGTATTCACAAAATTTTTTCCAGAAGATAAGAGGTTAATTTAGGAATGTCAACTGTGCGTGATATGATATGACTCCGACCGACTTTCAGAGAGTCAAGTTACTACTTCAATGCAACTAAATATTTAGACGAGAGCTCAAATTGATTTCAGAAAATGTATTATTCGGAAAGGCACTGCTTTGATATATAATTTATATTTTTTTAGGCAGCAGTATCAGTTTCTAGGTTTTTAACCCTCAAATATATAAATATATTATATATAACATTGGTTGAAATATTTGAGATAAGTATTTGGCAAAGGCTGTCGACGTTACTCCTAAATTAGCCATTAATTTCATATAACTTTCCGATTGACAGAAATTTGTTTATTTATGAAATTAACCTAATATACTTGAGTAATAATCGCTTGAGTAATATGATCAACAAACACTGAAAAATATATCCCATCACCTTTACTCAATTGCCAATAATTTGAACAGTCAAACATTAAGTAAGGGTGCTGCAGAGTTTTTAAAAACTGTATTTGGTTATTTAGTTTCTTATCGATTTTTATGTTACTTATATTATTATAACTTCTAAATTATTATGTTAAATTGTTTGAAAACAAATATCAGGAAAATCCTTAATAAGAGTTTTTCGAATAGAGGTATTACTCACCTAAGCATAATACGAATCTCAAGCGAATAGAACCAAAACTCCTTTTATTTTGGAAAAATGTCGAATGCTGGTCCATTCCTGGAAGGAACATTTTTTTAGGAATTAACATAGACAAAAAACCCAGTTTCAACCCAAATTCAAACTTTTTGCCCAGATCGGTCTAATGTTCACTTTTCTGAAGAAAATCTATTTATTGTATTATTTTCGAAAAGATCGGTCTCTTGTATACTCCCGGGAAAAAAATGTATCCTAAGAGTGCTTTAGGCAAATATTATTAAAATTAATTTAAAATAGATCGATTCCAGGTACACCCCCCATAAACTCTATGAGTGGGTCAGAGGGTTGCTCTGTCTGTCATTAAGGACAAAGCCTTTTACATGTTACAAAAGTTTTTCCGGGACTTCTTTTAATATGGTTCCAGTAACGCTTCCCGGGAAATTCTTATTGAATGCATTCGGCTTACGCAGGACATAGCTTCCTAGTTTCAAATTTTTACGATTAGTGGATTAGGCGGTGGTTTGATCCATCACTAATTCAGATTATAGGTTATATATATATTTATCTCTCGGAAATGCGACACATTTTTTGCATAGGAAACCTAATACCTGTTATTTGCAGGTCAATAATTTCGAAAGTCTTTCAAAGATTTAGCAAGTAATTATTTTCTCTTCAAATTTCTTTCTTTTGGAACTTCAAGGTAATGACGATAATTTACAAAAGAAATATTTTTGAGTATAGCTTAGATCTTAAATCGGCTTTACTGACTTAATATGGATAAAATGTACTTCAAATGATCTGAATCTTAAGCCTAATACAACCAAACTCTCATACGGAGAATCATATAAAGTCATTCTAGCGACACACCCTAGTATGTGCCATCAAAGAAGGTATTATGTTGTTAAGCAACGGATTATCTGCATTATTTTATTAATCCGCATTTTTTAACACATGTTTCATTTATAATATTGTTTTTTTTTACCATAACTTGTACTTGAATTATATAAAACAAGATACTTTGATGCAACTGCCGGCAGAAAAAAAAATAAAAAATTAAATTATTTAAAAGTAAAACATTACATATTCTCTTACAAAAAGTGAATCAATGACAACCGCGTATAGTAGATATGCTAGCCAATTAATTAAATATAACGGTTCACTTTAATGCACATTGAACTATGGAATTCAATTATTCTTAAGTTACTATCGACCAAATAAAGTCTGTAAAAGTTCTTTTTTGTCCTTTTCTCAAAACATAATTCGGTGAGTGTTTTGATGATGGATGAATTTTACTCCCGCTATGAGTAAAAAAATTAGAAAATGCTATAAATAATAGAGTACAACACGATTGAAAGTTCTTTTCAATTGTTTTTGCGGCCTGTATTGTAATTTTGTTATAAGTCAATGAGTTTTAGTTTGAGACCTTAACAGGCTACTCTACTGAGATAATATCACATATGTAATCTGTTGACGGCATATTCAATTCACTTACTGACTAACAACTACTAAGTGAGCTCATTTTTAGCGGCTTACTATACAAGAATATGTCTTCATAATTCCAGTGGTCAATTCGACATATTTAACAAGCTAGAGAAGTTTTATTGGCAGAGCGTCAAGCAGGTTAAAAATTATTGTCTGAAATTTCGTTTCAATCAATAAATATCTTTTCTTTCCAATAAATTGCAGAAAAAACGATTTTTTCGGGTTCTAATAGAGACTACTGCCTTAATTTAGAAGTCCAGGGAAAATTCTTTCCCAAGTTTTAGACCTTGTAATGAAAAACCTCATATTAATAGAATAGAATTAATAGCGAGAATATTTCAAAATCACACGCAAATAAACAAGTAATGAGCGCATGAGAACAGATAATTTTTTAGGACCTTTTTCAACATGAATTTCGTTTTTCATCTATTACCGAAGCTTCAAGCTACTCAAAGCTATTTTGGAAGCATAGTTTCCTTCTTGATAAAATAGTTTAAAGGTATTTTTATTCTCTCTTATCAGTCGGCTTCATAGCTATCTGACATTAATAAACGTGTTTCATTTTTTTCGTGCTAGTCTCTTCTCTTAAAAAAATCTACCTCTTTAAAAAAATTTGTGAAAGATTTTAACAAATTTTAAACTTTTGAACGCCAAAAAATTACATGTTTTTGGTATCCTATCAAGAAAACTATCTACAAAGCAATTTTGTAAGCAGATAGGATTCTAAATATATTGAAATGTGGAAATCTAATTAGCTTGTAAGTTAAGCCTGGTCAAGCACACTTAGGCCTAGTGACTCGTAGTAATACCCATGTGTGAAGATCCTTACACCATTCCAGATTTCAGACCACCAAGTGTGTTTTATGAGCTTCCGGGAGATTAATAATTCCTCCAGATGCAAGATATGCAAAGATATATAAGAAGAAACATTAACGGACCTCACTGAGAGCTTTTAGACCGATTCCTCCTCATTTATGTCCTTCAGCTATTGTAAAATTCATTTCAGAAGTAGCCCGCGAGTACTCACAACGTAATGTCCGGTTAGTATGCCGGTTGTTACGCTTATGAAGGTCCTGTTTAGAAAGAGTAAATACTTAGTTGTAACCCACGTGGTTTCATTTTTCCCCCTGGTTCTTCTGAAGACTAGCCCCGAAAAATTAATAAAAAAATCATCAAATTGAATATTTTATAAATGGTAAGAACAAACAATTTTGGGGAAACACGTTTAGTGTCAAAAACTTCGATGTGAAACTACCTTATAGAATTTTGTGTCCTGGTTTTCTGGTTACAGTACTTGAATATCGAACTGTCATTAAATTTTCATGTTTTCAAGCAATACCTGGAAGATAGGCTGTATTCCATGTATAGGGACTCTGTACCACTATTTACCGCAGGTTTGTCATTTCATGATGAGCAGACTTCCTATGGCACATCATTTGCAAATCGTTTAAATTTATTATATTATTAATCGCCCTAATCATCAGAGTCGGCGATTCGGGCAACCATGATTCGCTTTCGCACCACGATTATTCTAGTAAATAATACGCATCCGGAAAGATACCGTAGCACCGGAGTGGCTATTGGTGCTCAGGATCGGAGAACCGAAAAAGACCCAAACAAATCCATCGCGTGCAACTATTGGTGCTGTGCCCATTCATTTAACGATTTAACGAAGACTGCATAAGAATATTGGTTGCTTGCATAATCCAACCCGCGCAAGAAACCGAACGATCGTCAAAGGGCGAAATTGTGTTGAACGATGAAACTCACTTTTTGTTGTATGTGTACTTTGGTTGATGTGATGATAATCTTCAAGCTATTGTTGAGACTACGTTACATCTTGAAAAAGTCAATAAGTCAACGAAACAATCAATTTATTTAAGGCAAATTTTGGTTGAGCGCATTATTTGTGTCGTGGGTCCTTGGGATGGCGTCGTGAACTTTGAGACCGCTGAACTATTTTTGGTGAAGTTATGTGATTGCGCTTGTCTACGCAAAAAAGCCTGAGACGGTTAACGCTTTGAAAAATAATATTTGGCGGGGTCTTGCTGACGTATGCCCCAAATCGCTGCAAAAAAGGTGGTCAGATATTAGAACTTTCGGCTAGTATTTATTCGAGTCAGCCGAGGCGTTGTTCTTAGCCCAACAAAATGAGTTTTATTAAAACACTTTAATCAAATTATGTTTATGATTAAAACTCGGGGATGGATAACTTCAAGATGTTCACACTTTCCTGAATAACCCAAAAATATTTCATACAAATATGTAGCCATATCAATTATATAATTGTAAAATTAATATGTAAGATATTGTATGGGTGCTTTGTATCCGTGTAAGCCAATTTCGGGTCCAATTTTTAGTGTGCGTCTTGATATTTTTCCGACAAATAGAGGGAACTACAGCTTTTACGAAGCCGTCTCTGAACAGCAGATAAATTTTATGAGGGCCTTTTATTTTATGTTGGAAATATACGCGGAGGACTTGACATTCTCTGCCTAAGGGTGACCCCAATAAGAATAATTGGTCGAACGAAGACTAGAACTCTGATCTTCAGAATAGCATTACGTAATGCTAAGCACTCGGCTGTTGCGACCGCCAGTAATTCATAAGATATAAGCTCAATTCTCAGTACTTCTCTAAAAATTAATTAATTCATAAAATCTCACATTTTCAATTTTTATCACTTTAAAATCGATTCTTTCACGTACAATACAAAACACTTGGCTAACTACAGAGTTTGATGTATATATTTTACTGACATATGTATATTTTCAGTCTGGGTTGTTGTCATTTATATTAGGTGTGCAGCTTTTCGACTCATCGATTCATGCTACATCAACTTTATTTGCTTCCTGTTATCAACTGCAGCATAAGTGTAACAAACTCAAACTCAATGGGCTGTAAAACGTTGTCATTACCGTCAGTGCTTCAAAAGTTAACTCTTCAATCAAGATCTTTTTCTAATTTTTTACCTTATTTCTTGATAGAACATTAACGTCCACGTCTCTCTCAACGTCAGCGTTGTCTTCAGTAAGTGTCATCGATGTCTATGGAATTATGCAAAAGCATACGAATTTTCGTATGGATACACGAATGAATGGGTATGTCCCGTTGGAGTTGGAGTCGAAGTGCGAGTAAGAGTAATCAGAAGCCCAATAAAGGCTTCTGCTGAACACTCAGGTTGCTTTCGCAATTTGTGCTTCTTGGCTTCATTTTAATTTCGCCTTTAACTCCACAAGAAGCAGGCACTCATTTGAAATTGCTTTTACTGTTTTATTCTTTATTTCTCTTTTGTTTATATCTTTCACTTTATAGCATATGCATACATACATACATGTGAACCTAACACTTACACTCATATGCTACCCTTAGTTAAAAGAAAGGATATGTCCTTTCTTTTACTGCGCCATACATGCCACACTTTACATCCTTTCTGTCGCAGCACATTCTTCGAGCTCTGAAATTATACTGTTGCACAGCGTACAGCGCCATTATTGAATTTGTTCCTTGCAATTTCCAGTTTACTCGTTCGACTTTTAGGCGATTTGCTGGTTTGTTTGCAGGAGTTAGAGGTACTAATAGCAAGTTGGGCGCGGGGTACGGCTTGCGACTTGCAAGTGAATTGCAAGTAAAATTTGTAAAGGATGCACTGGAACTCATTGCGATTTTGTTTGCGATGTGTCTCCAACTGTGTAGCTGTATATAATGATTAGTTTTCATATCAATTCGCTAGCCCTACGCTACCATGCCGCCATCAAACACCCATCCAGACATTTTTCCAATCCTACAATCCTTTTAACTGTTTGCCTGCATTTTTAAATCTCTTTCTAGAGCAGCTGTTAGGTTGTAAAAGTGTGTGGCTAAATTTGTAAGAAGCAAATACAAACGGTCTAAGATCTTGCAAGCAGAGCTTTAATGCTTGTAACCCAAGTGACAGTAATGTAAAAGTATCATACAAAAAGGGTTGCCAAAAAACGGCGTAACAGATGGACGAAAAAGATTAAAGAAATGTGTGTGTGTGTGTACAGAAAATTCTATTGTAAACAAAAAAAGGATTAAAAAAATAAAAACATATTTTATGGTGGCTTGAATATGATTGCTGTTCTGAGCATTTAGAAACAGTAGCCTGTACCATATCCTTCTTCTTCTACTACTCCTTTTTGCACTCGTAGTAGAGGTATTATGTTGACGACATCTGCACGGTCGGTCAGTTGGGCTTGGCCACATTTTTTATCTACAGTTAGCATCAGCAATTATCGCATTTAACGTTAATCTCTTCTGCACACAAATAAAATCTTTGAATGCAACAAATTTTTTTATCATTGCTTTTGCATCTTAAAACACACACAGTCACACAGCCACACATTCATAAACAAAATTTGCAGTTATAAGCTACCGTTTGCTTTCACTACACATTTAACTAATTTCAATCTTCCCATCTTGCTCTTCCTATTTTATTGCAATTTTTCTTCTTCTTTTTTGCAGTTGCTTCCAACTACTTTGACACTCAAGGGTCTAATCTCTCGCATGAGTCACCATCGCGTATTGAATTTGCCAATAATGCTGGCAGCGTTGTCGATTTTTTGGCCTACGGGAATCCGCCACCGAACGTCGAATGGTTGGATAAGGATAAAAATTCCATCACCTCAATATCAAAGGTAAATTTTCTTCCCGCTCATATTCAAAGAAAAGAAACAGTAAATTTTGAAGCAGATACACGACTATAAGCTAAGGGAAAAAATGGAAATATTGAATATAAAATTATGTTATGCTTTGTATTTTACTACCTTGCTCCTTACTTGTATTCTGGATGTCACTTTTTGCATTAGATATATATAACTACTATCTTCGTTTGATAGTTCCGTTTCATAAAATCTGCCAAACAGATGTAGTGTTGAGTTTTTCAACGGACAATAATTGAACAAGTATTACCTCACTGGATTTACATACGTTCAATTAAGTTGAAATGATATAAGTTGGTCAAAACAAACTGATAAACGTTTTTGCAGTATCAATACACTAAAATTTATTAAGAACACCAATTGAATTAATAAACCGCCCCTTAGCTCTTGCAACTAACATATCAAATGAACTTAATTCCATTCCAAAATTTTTTATTGATTGTGTATTTGATTTTTTCTCTAAAGCCATTTTTTGGTCGGTCGTCGAACCAGGACGCAAAGTCTGGCCTTTCGTACGCAATGCTAGCCACTTGTCTTTTGAGGCCGCCTTACATATATATATAACGGGCGATCCAAGTAGAAGTGCTTTGACCAATAGTCTTCTCTTGACAGATCATGCGTGTCAAGCTGATATGTTATTTTTGTACAGCATTGTTAGACATTTTATCATGGAAAGACCTACGCATGAACAACGTTTACAAATTGTTTAGCTTTATTACGAAAATTCACGTTCTATAAAGAATGTATTTCGCGTCCTTCGCTCAACTCATGGTCAATTTAGTCAGTCGACTGAGCATGCCATTCGTGACACCATCACCCATCTTGAGATCCAGCATTCAATATTGGATAATTTTCGGCCGAACAGACCCCGTCCATCACGCAAGTAAGATAATATAGCGACCGTTGCTGAGAGTGTACACGTTCGCAGCAACTCGACGACTTAGCTGATTTTACGTCGAGATCTTGAATTTAAATCGTACAAGCTGTAGCTTGTGAAAGAACTGAAGCCGACAGACAAGCACAGTAGTCGCATTTGGGACGAAGAGCAACCTGAAAATATTCAAGAGCTGCTATTTCATCCATAAAGAAAAATAATGCTGGAGAGACCATAACCGTCAATAGTGACCGTCATCGCGCAATGATAACCGACTTTTTGATCCTCGAATTTGAAGCTCGTGATCTCAGCGACATCTGCTTTGAACAATATGGTGCACTTTCCACACATCGCATCAATCAATGAATTTATTGAGAGAACACCTCAGTAATTTTCACGTTTTGGGCCGGTCGATCGGCCACCAAGATTGTGGGATATCACACCGTTATAATTTTTTTTGTGCGGATATGTAAAGTCCTCAGTTTATGGACCATTCCGGTCATTCGCCAGTCATCACCAGTCGAAATGCTCGAACGAGTCATCGCAAATTCGCAAACGAATAGACCATCTGAGACATCGCCGCGGACAACATTTGAAAGAGATAATCTTAAAAAAAAAAATTCGAAAAATATTTTTTCCAATGATAATAAAAAGTAAGTTTGAACTTTCTGCTTTTTTTTTAAATATGTAGGAAAATTTCTAGATTTTACAAAACAAAGTTTTCTTTTTTAAAATAATATTTTCTTTGTGATTTATTTTTTTTTCTAGTATTCACTTCATCTTATCCACAAAAAAGTAAATAATTTTTTTGATTTATCTGATGAAATATATGTAGTTTTGCTCTTACTTCATCCTGCCGGTTATGTGGCTATATCGTAGCAATTAAGGCAAACCCTCTCCCTCTTGACCGAGCCACGTCATTTACAGACGTTCTCTTGGCTCATTGTATAAGAATTAACTTCATTAAACAAGACTGGTCGTACAGTGATCCTATCAGCTTGCCAAATATGCTGAGCAGCTTTGACCAATTCCCGAAAACTTTCTGACAGACGTAGCTATGGTCCATCTATGATGCTATAGGAGAGGGAGTTTTCTTTCATGAGGATGGAAAATCGACAACAGAAAATTGATAACAAAAAAAGGAAAACTTTTAATAATAATTTCTTTTCGAAAGAGTTTAAGTACAGGCAATACAGCCAAAATGTCAAACCAACAAAAGAGTGAGAACAAAAAATTTTGTGTGAGTCGTAACTTCGATAGCACAAAACTCGAGACAACAGCCGAACAATGCATATTTCAGTAGCAAAAAGTGAAGAAACTCTGCCAAACGATAGATAATCAAATACAATAGCAACTGCACAATGACAACAAAAGCAAGTAACATACAGCAGAGCTGACCTGATGGAAACAGTAACGAGCGGGGATTGGGCGTCAGTTTCGAGCAAATTCAATCAATAACCACTTGAATCGAACTTCCGCCATTGGCGGCTAACCTGAAGTTATTTCAATACTCCATCGACGATACAAGTCGACGATTTGAGCACAACTAAGGGATTAAGGAGATGTTGTTGAATGGCCCATGCAGTAGATAGACCGACAGGCAAATAGACGGGCGCATTCAGCAAGCAGACAACCAAAAAGCGTGTCGTTGGTCAGAAAGATTAACGGGCAGTGAGACAATGTAGCAACTTTGTATTTTTTTATGCTCGTACACAAAACTATTTATGTATGCATGTGTGTGCATTTCCGTAGAACAATGCAGCAATGTAGATACTGAAAGGTCAATGTTCTAACGACGTTATTGCAATACTGCGGCAGATACTACAATCTTATCGGCATTGCCATGTAACCAAGTGGGGAGTCCAGAGGGAAATACTTCAATTAGATTTAAGAATGTATGTAGTATGGGTGTAGGCGCCAGGGCATTTATGTGCATGTTGTATGTATTTGCGGCAGCAAATTTTGTTAACCCTCTTTAGCTCCTTATATTGTCTTCCTTATTCGGTGAGTTCGTCATTGAAGGCTACGCAATAACTGCAAATCTCTGCATTTTTAGTGCCAACAGCTATTTTATTTCAAATTATTTCGGTATTGTAAGTGCTGCTTTGCTTAAAACTTAAAAAAAAAACAAGTGAGTAAAAACTGACTTGATGAGAACCAATGTCATGCACAATAGCGCACCGCTGTAACTTTAAAATCCATCTCATCAATATATTTGAACGATCAATCTTCATAGCCTGTCAGAAGACAGATATATTTTATTTGCTTCCCAACTTAGCCTGGAAGAGTAGTAGCAGTAGTGCTTAACGACTTTTGATATATCCTTTTGCAAAGTTTAGTAATAATTCCTTGTCTAAGAGAACATACGTGTAAAATAGCCCTCTCACTCTTTACCTCACATTTGAACGGATATTGAATTTTTTTTTCACTTTTCCATTTCATTTTATGAAGCAGGGTCCCGATATCTTCAAATACTTTCTCGATCTCTCCGAAATTTGCTGCTATATTTAGTAAGTTTTTCAATACTTTTTATAATTCAGGACTAATTTTTATCAAGTATATATACTGCGTCTCCTCCACATATGTACTAAGAGCCACTCAATTGTGGGCAGCTGAAAGATTCACTCAACTCTCGGAAAATATTTCGTGTTTGGAGAATGTGTGTGGTTGACCCACGTTGATTTATTCGCCTTACTTTTCTGGTTGGATAGCCAAGCCAACTGACTCTTTATCTCATGAGAGCGTTTTAAAAACTCACACTTTTTGTAACAATTTCCAACAGTGCAACTTGGATGCAAAATATTCCATTGCAGATTTTCGGAGAATTTTTTGGACTTTTTGTGCTAACAAAAAATTGTGTAAAAAATGAATATTTTTGAACATTTGCAGCTATATTTGTCTTCAACAAACACAATTAATGCTTTTTCTTAATTTTGAAATAATGCTTAATTGCTTTCTTAATGCAAATGTATTGGTAACATAAATTTGCTTTTCTGTCGACGCGCGTTTCTTTATTGAGTAAGTGGTACTGAGGCCTCTTAAAGAACAGCTGTTCAAAGTTCTTTTAATTGGCTGTGTTACCAGCCCAGAAAAAATTTTCTAAGAACGCATTTATCTACATTTTGTGAGAGTTTCGTATCATGTTATTATTATATATTTTATTATATATATGTTGGCCGAACGGTGCGGCTACTCACTCGTTTGCAATTATTAACCTATGTAAGATTTAATTTTAGTTTAAATTAATAATTACTGATTTTTACGCTTTACGTTATTGAATAAAATATATGTTTTTGTTACGAATAAATACCTGCGTCGCTACATATATATATTGTTACTATTATTATTATAACCGACCATTAGTTATTTTCCGTGCAGCTTTATAAATTCATCAGAGTAGAGCTTCTGTAATTTATCGTCGAGAAACTCGGTCGACTGATTTGCAGTAGCTCTTTGGCCGTCCCTGTTTTACCATAAAGAGATTTTCGCAGAGATCGGAAAAATTGCAGACAGATAGTACAAGGTCCAGGCTACACATTGACTGCATTAAAACTTCACAACCAAGCTTCCTCATACATATACACTAAGCATCACCTAGCTTACGGTCAATTCAGGCTTTAAAGTTGCTTGTTGAGAGTCCCTCAAGTCTTTGATTATCATCGTTTTTTCATTTTATTTTCATTAAAACCATTTTCATTACTTCCGAATCGGGTCTATTCAGAAATGGTTTGATATTGTTATGTTTTAGAAACATTTCACTAATGGTAATGCGATCACTTAAATTATTTGAATTTGCCTACGGCGTCTAAATATAACATTATCCTCTTAAATCAAATAAGTTTTAGGCGAGTTTGCAGCATTTAAACTTTTATATATATCTGAGTCTTTATTAGTTTTTTTTTTACCATAAGAACGAAAAATATTATACTAACAGATATTAGCGAAACTTCTCCAGTGCACCAGATCGATTGCATTTGTTGACCACTTTTATCATATCTGAAAAAATTAGAAAATGCTGAGAACCAAGAGCTTGAAAATTATGTAAGGGTAAGGGTCAGGTAGCCGGGTCTTCCATAATTAGACAAAAAGTCCTAGTCTAGAACATGGTTTAGACCGCGGTATTAAGGTATGGCGTTAATAATCGGAAACAGTATTGCCCTCTATGTCGGTC